GCGACACGACCCGGACGTCGACGCCATCTACCGCCTCGGGCCCCGCGCGGCGCTGCCGCTGCCCTTCGACTTCCCCTCGAGCACGGCCGCGGCGTCGTCCTCGACGGCGGCGCCGTCTGCCCCTTCAACGCCCAGGCGACCTTGTTCGACCGGGCCGCCTTCTGGGCGCTGCTCCTGCCCGCGTCCGTCCACGGCCGCGTCGCCGACATCTGGCGCGGCTTCGTCGCGCAGCGCGTGCTCCGGGCCGCGGGGCTCCGGCTCGCGTTCCTGCCGCCGGGCGTGACCCAGCTCCGCAACGACCACGACGCCCTCGCCGACTACATGAGCGAGCGGCCCTTGTACGAGAAGGCCGACGCCGTCGTCCGCGTGCTCGACGGCGTCGCGCCGCACCGGCCGGGCGGCTCCGTCGCGCGCGCGGTCGAGGACGCCTACGTCGCCCTCTACGAGCACGGCCTCGTCGCCCTCGACGACGTCGCCTACGCCCAGCTCTGGCTCGCGGACCTCTACGCCGTCGGCCTCGCGCTCCCGAAGCTCCGGCGCCACAAGGCACGGCACCGGCCGGTGGGCGCGAGGGGAGCTTAGTCCGCGGCGGCGCGGGGCTCAGGTCGACGGAACCGGCCGGTGGGCGCGCGCGAGCCTCGGGCCGACCTCGGAGCGCCTCGATTGCTCAGAAGGTCGTCTCGGAGGGCACGGGGGCGTAGACGCCAAAGTCCGGCGCGGCCCGCGGCGGCAGGAGCGCGTCGCCGACGTAGCGCGGCGACGGCGAGGAGGTGGACGCCCGGCCAGACGAGCACGGACCATCGCGCGAACATGGAAGGGACGAGCGCGACGTAGAGGAGCGCCTTCGCGACACTTTCGGAGAAAAACACCTCCTGGGTAATCATGCGCCTGAACATCACGACAGAAAACGGGAGCGACGAATTGACCTTCCCCAGGAACGCGCTCGACGTCGCGCCGAGCTCGAGCACGAACACGACGCACGCAGCGAGGAGCGCATAGACGCACGTGGCGCTTTCCCAGTGAAGAGTAGACCCGAGGGGCAAGGAGTACCGTCCGAGGGCGCAGCCCGAGGCCGGTGCGACGCAGCCTCGAGCGGTCTACTCTGAGTGGAGTCACCCTTCCGCCTCCTGCATTCTGCTGGTCATGTTTTCTCTCTGCCGTCGCTCTGTGAGGCGTCGTCGAAGTAGGGGTCGACCCCCCTTATTTTAAATCTTAACTCTAGTTATTCGTGATATATATCATTCCGGCGT